AAATATAAATGGACAGAAAACTAAGGCAAACATTAAGATTCGAACACCTGTGGTTCGTAGCCACATGTTCTAATCTACTGAGATACCGGTTCCAACCATCTCTACTCAATATTTTCACGGAAGTACCCAAAAAAGAAATAGAACACTTCTTTCTCCAACCATTTCATTTCGGGTTAAAAGGGTATAAAAGTGCATTTATCTCTACAAAAATTGTTTGTTTGTTCAGATTGCACCTTTAATGAGAAGAATAAATATTACTGGTATCAATCAAATAGACAATCATCAAATCTTTCAATCTCTTTTTAAGACGGAAGGCCATGGCAGAGCACAGTGGATTTCCAATAGAAGCCCATAATAGAGTATACAAAATGGAAGGGACGACATAGAAAGCTAGGTTACAGTTGAGATATACAACTGAATGCACAAACTTATCTTAAATTATAACACAATATACTATGAAATCAAGCTCTAGGCTCCTATAAATACGTAGCGGTGCCAATTGTTTCATGATTACATACGTGACAAAGGTGTGTTAGATGCTTTATTACTACTCAGGAATGGGTAATCAGTATATCCTACAACGGGATCATGGGTATAGAAAGTAGCCCGAACATACCTGTTTAAAGGTGCATTGAGCTTGAGTCTCAAAACTAAGTCTGGGTTTGCAATAAATAGTCGGCCATACGCCACCAAATCAGCCTCACCCTGAGCCACAGCTTCAATTCCAAGCTGCCGAGTGAATCCACCACTACATATGAAAGTGCCCTGATAAGTCCTTCGCCAAGTCATCATGAATTGCGCCTCCTCTTCTGGACTACCATGATTGCCTGACTCTGTTTGCCCATAGGCTGTGTATCGGGGCTGAGTCACATGTAAATACGCAAGTTTTAAGCCACATTCTATTTCGAGCCTGTTGAGTCTCTCGATCACAGCAAGGCCTAGGCTGAGTGGATTGGAGTCCATCGCATCAAGATGATCAATTGCAGGTGACATTCTGACACCGACTGTGTCGGCTCCAATGGCAGAAACAACTGCTTGCACTACGTTCATTATGAATTTGCAACGGTTTCCGAGAGATCCGCCATACTCATCTTTGCGCTCATTGATCCCATCCTTGAGGAATTGGTCAATCAGGTAACCATGAGCTCCGTGGATCTCAACACCATCAAAACCTGTTAATTTTGCATCATTAGTAGGTGTTAGGTAATTATATTTACACGTGCTGTTTACTAGTACTTGAAAAACTCAAGTGAAGACATTTAAAGTGATACAAAGACATAACATGTCAGAAATCATATATTATTATCGTTGAAATTGTGTATTGAAAATCTTCTTCACTCCAATTAGGGTAGTTGCATGTGCCCCTCTGTTTTGTCAAAGTACAGAAGACCCCCTCAAGTTCAGAAAATAATGAACCCGATTGTCAATGGCCGGATTCTCAACAGAGAATCCTGTATCTGGATTATGACTTCACCAATTTCCTAAAATGAAAAGAAAGCTAGCTAAAGGAAGTTGTCAAGACCACAAGCGGACATCACACCTTTTTTTTTCTATGGGAGTGAGGGGAGAAAGAGAGGGAAGAAGCTTCATTCCATCCACCTCATGTCTTCGATCATTGAATTTATTCTCGTATTGGAACGCTACCATTTTTATCCTCTCATACTTTAATATGTCGCAACATCTCTTAACATGGTCCTGGCTCCTCTAGTCCTATTGCAACAAAGCCATGATCCACTGCTGCTAAGCTCCAATTAATGTCACCTAAACCTAATGTGCTGACTCCTCTCTAGCTCAGCCGTCTTTGTCATCAACAAGCTGCAATCTTCTCTCTTTCTGAATTTACTCCATTTCTGGTCAAATTACTGAAACTGGAAGCTGCAATCAGTCTATTGAAGTTTCTGGTTGAAATTTACAGAAAAAAATCTCATTGCTTTTTTGGATGTAGAACTTTTAGCCATTGTAGTGACATTGGCATTGACAAGTGCAATAAAAATGGGGGAAATTGAGTATGTGGAGAAAATTGGGGTGTGAACATACAAAAATACCCACCTCACTCTCACCCGTGAAAATTTTTAGCAAATTATATTTCCATCCATCTTTTATTAGCCTCACTAATCCAAAAATGGTGGAACAGTTATATGCATATTCATTTACTGAAAATATATATAGCTTGAGCCTTGAACCACCAAATCTTCCATATGAGTATCTCTAAAACTAGTATATTTCAAGCAATAAAAAGTAAGAAATACCACGAAAAATATTTTTTCTTCATGAGATCCATAGAATCATAATGTGGATTTTTCAAGTAAAAATAACATAATTACTAATCTAACAAAACAATCACATAATCCTCTAATGAATAAGGTTCACCGACCTGCTTCAATGGCATTTAAGGCAGCCTCGCGATAGTGTTCTACCACCTGCGGAATCTCATAGGTTTCCAATTGACGTGGCTCCGGGTAAATCCCATAACTTCCATCAGGCAGTAGTACTCTCCACCTCTTTGATATTGGCTTGTCTGTGGACGACACTGGAGCAACCCCACCAGGCTGAAGCACTGTGCGTATATCCATGAAAACTTACTAAATGTGATCTAATACACAATGCAAAAGGAAAATGCTTTTTGAGTAGTAGAATTTGTACAAAATGACAATGAAAGAATCGAACTAAAACATTTTCAAAAGTTTGTCAATATTTAGCCATAATACAGTAGCACAAGTTGTATTAATGTGTCACTTGTATCTCATTTTATACATCATGACTGTTACTAATGAAGAGTCACAGATTTATCTATAAGTATACTTCTTCTAAAGATGCTGCAAATTTGCCTAAAACCAGTTTCAGCATTCAGTTCTTCGATTTCCTAACTGAAGCAATGTGCACAAATCTTCCTCTCTCAAAATAACAGCACAATGCACATAGGAAACCCCTTTTTAAGTATTAGCTTTCATCAATGATTACTTATATACAATGTCAATGGAAGCCATTGGAACCAAAAACTTAGTTGATTGCCAATTTTGTCATCATCCCGTCTCTGGGTAAATTTTATCTTAGATAATGCAAAATAAAAAAAATTTTTTTTTTGATAACCGTGGATGTCCGGGTCAGTTTGCGCGCACCTTGACTAATTCCACGGGACCCTGAAGTTTACGGCCGAGTACTCACCTCAGTGGCCCTAAGGGGACTCGAACTGGTGACCATTAAAAAGCAAATCCAAGACCTGACCAATTGANTAATTCCACGGTACCCTGAAGTTTACGTCCGAGTACTCACCTCAGTGGCCCTAAGGTGACTCTAACTGGTGACCATTAAAAATCAAATCCAAGACCTGACCAATTGAGCAACCCCTCAGGGTTGCAAAATAACAAATGAAATGCTGCAGATTCATTTAATTTTGTAACTTTGCATCACTTCTTTATTTTTTTTATTTTTTCATATTTATATCAGTTTTATGAACAATTGATAAGTAATAGCAATTATTCCAGAATTTTTCTCCCTAATATAGCAATCGAATGACCAAATAACAGCCATTCATTTGCATTAGTAAATGTTAGGAAGCACCAAACACAAACACGAGGACACGACACTATACAAACATATCAACATGACATGCCAGTGCTTACTAGACTAAATGGTATACCTTGATGTGAAGCCCGGCCTACATGCCACAATTGACAAAATATAATTGAACCTTTCGCGTGGACAGCATTTACCACTTTCTTCCATGCCTCCACTTGCTCCTTGTTGAAAATGCCAGGCACATGTGGAAACCTGGACCCACATAGAATATATCAACAAAATCATCATTAGATTGGAACAAACACTAAATGGAACCCATAAGGATTTACAGTAGTGATAAACATGGAATGATGTGACTGAATATTTTACACCATTACAACAAGTACTTTGATCGTCACTGTACTGAAATAAAATAATTAATTTCTTGGTAATAACTGAAACTTAACAATTCATTTATTTTATTGTCGGAATAAGTAATTATTTTACTTACAATTAGATAATAATTTAATTTAATCACTAAATTTCAACATACTGTTAATCTTAAATCAAACATGTTGTGTGTCAACTGTCAAGTAGTTTAAGATAAAATATTAGTACCGATTAAAAAATATGTAAACGCACTAAATCTCATCAAATATAAAAAGTCAATAATTTATACTAGACATTGCAACATGTAAGAGCATATCCAAGAGATCCATAATTTTTAGAAAACATCTTTAAAATTTAAAGAGTAAATTTTTTCACACACTTCAACAAACTCTTTATTTTTGCTCTTTTTTTACTTTTCTCAACATTCATTTATTGTTTTTCCCTCATTTTCAATTAGTATTTTTTTTTTTTACGTGTCAATACTTAAAATATGCAACATAACATAAATAATCTGAGTGTTGGAGGATAGAAACTTGCAATTTTATTAAATAAAATATTGAAAAAAATACAAATCGAGAGCGAGTTTGGCTTGGCTCTTCAATATGTAGAGAGAGACTCAGTTTCTATTATAAAAATAAATAAATAAAGAGTCCAGTTTACGCCCTGTTTGGGAGAAATTTTAATCAAAAATCTAATCGTTAACTATCAAATCAGCCACAATTTTTGACCTTCCCTCTCACAGGTGGAGCCCATGGGTTGACTTTAACGGCTATAATTTTGATTAAAATACCACA